TTCACAGTAGTAATCGTTCCTTTTTCCTCTGGTCTTAGCACCGCCCCCTGCTGTGAGGAGGACTCAGGGTGTGTGAGAGCCTGGTGATTTACAGCTTTAACACCACCTGTGACTGCCTGTTTGCCCCAAACTGAGGATCATTTGGGGGTTGAGTCAGGGACGATCCACAACCGTATAGCTTCCAGGCTAATTCTGATGTGCTGTCATAGCTTTCACTATAATGTATCTGGGTTATGATAAAACTGTACTAATTAAAGCAATCTCTGATATCTAGGAACACAGAGACTAAAAGCTGTAATGCCATCTGACGGGGCATGACACATTTGAAGTGTTTTAGTCACATTTTAGTGAAATTGATTATTATCTCTGCCAGTCGTGAGCCTGCAGGGGATTGTGTGTGTGTGTGTGTGTGTGTGTGTGTGTGTGTGTGTCTGTCTGTCCAGAGCTCATCATGCATACTTCTGAACCCAACAGCCTCATTCTTTTTGTGCCCATTCATGACTGTTTGCTCATGGATCTTTTGTGGTTGTGGTGACCTCCTTTACTTTCAGTTTTATACGGTCATTGACTGCTGACTCCTTCTTCTCTCAACCATTCAGTAGATGACGCAATTGATCAAGAACTACTTCAGTAGAAAAAGTTATTTCCCTGCAATCTGATAGGCTAAAAACAGGTCTTACCTAGTCTGGTGCGGGCCACATTTAGGGCTCAAAGAAACTGACATGCATAGAAAACGTTGGTCTCATTTTGAACCTGAGAGTGCACAGATACATTTGACACTTGATTTGTTTTAATCCTGTAAAATAAGGCATGATACGACATGAATAAAGCTGCTATCTTGGATGTAAGGAAGCCAGGAGAGTGAGACATAACTCTTCTTTGTTTGTGAGTGGAGAAAGCATTTCTACTGAGGGCATGAAGTTGTTGATCTGTGTTTATTCCACATAAAGTCTACAGCTGTCCCCCTCTGTGTGCAGTTACGGTAGTTACAGGTGGAGGTATAATAGCTTACCGTCTGAGGGCTGGTCTGAGGGTTTTTCATGGTCCCAGCTGCTTTTTTATTGGGACATTCGATGCATTTATCCTATGAGTCTGTGACCTTTTTCCTAACAAGACGTCAGCCAACATTGGAGGCAGACACATAAAGTTGCCGAAATGCAAGATGCTATATTTTGTGCGGACGCTTCTTTCCGTGTCCTCTGTTTCGGGAGTGATCTTTTTAAGACTACTTAAATGAACTTGTTGAGCTGCAACAAAACCAGGGACTGTGGGTTTGACTTAAATTGAAATAATCTGTCAGTCAAGGATGATAAGTGGAAACCTCCTAAACTTCACCTAGCAACAAAGTACTTCCTGTTTTTCCTCTTTGTGTAAAAGTGATGCAGAAACACGTTCTAGTAACTGGGCATATCGTGGGTGTGTGTGTGTTAATGGGTGTGAATGGGAACCAGGTGCTGCTGTGCTTCTGTGCTCATGCCTACGCAGGTTTGTTGTTGCACCGTCAGCTTTGTGTCTAGAGGAAACTTAACGAGCCCAGCAGGAGCCGAACATCAAACAAACACCCGCTAATGTGAGCGCTTGGTCGGAGAGGACGACAAATGGGTACGGTTTACCTTCGAGACAACTAGAGGTGGGAGAAGTACTCAGATCTGGTACTTGAGTTAAAGTAGAAGTACTCAGATGTTGTACTTGAGTAAAAGTAGAAGTACTCAGATGTTGTACTTGAGTAAAAGTAGAAGTACTCAGATGTTGTACTTGAGTGAAAGTAGAAGTACTCAGATCTTGTACTTGAGTGAAAGTAGAAGTACTCAGATCTTGTACTTGAGTAAAAGTAGAAGTACTCAGATCTTGTACTTGAGTAAAAGTAGAAGTACTCAGATGTTGTACTTGAGTAAAAGTAGAAGTACTCAGATGTTGTACTTGAGTAAAAGTAGAAGTACTCAGATCTTGTACTTGAGTGAAAGTAGAAGTACTCAGATGTTGTACTTGAGTAAAAGTAGAAGTACTCAGATCTTGTACTTGAGTGAAAGTAGAAGTACTCAGATCTTGTACTTGAGTAAAAGTAGAAGTACTCAGATGTTGTACTTGAGTAAAAGTAGAAGTACTCAGATCTGGTACTTGAGTAAAAGTAGAAGTACTCAGATCTTGTAGTAAAAGTAGAAGTACTCAGATATTGTACTTGAGTAAAAGTAGAAGTACTCAGATGTTGTACTTGAGTAAAAGTAGAAGTACTCAGATCTTGTACTTGAGTAAAAGTAGAAGTACTCAGATGTTGTACTTGAGTAAAAGTAGAAGAACTCAGATCGTGTACTTGAGTAAAAGTAGAAGTACTCAGATGTTGTACTTGAGTAAAAGTAGAAGTACTCAGATCTTGTACTTGAGTAAAAGTAGAAGTACTCAGATGTTGTACTTGAGTAAAAGTAGAAGTACTCAGATGTTGTACTTGAGTAAAAGTAGAAGTACTCAGATCTTGTACTTGAGTAAAAGTAGAAGTACTCAGATGTTGTACTTGAGTAAAAGTAGAAGAACTCAGATCGTGTACTTGAGTAAAAGTAGAAGTACTCAGATCTTGTACTTGGGTAAAAGTAGAAGTACTCAGATCTTGTACTTGAGTAAAAGTAGAAGTACTCAGATCTTGTACTTGAGTAAAAGTAGAAGTACTCAGATCTTGTACTTGAGTAAAAGTAGAAGTACTCAGATCTTGTACTTGAGTAAAAGTAGAAGTACTCAGATCGTGTACTTGAGTAAAAGTAGAAGTACTCAGATCTTGTACTTGAGTAAAAGTAGAAGTACTCAGATCGTGTACTTGAGTAAAAGTAGAAGTACTCAGATCTTGTACTTGAGTAAATGTAGAAGTACTCAGATCTTGTAGTAAAAGTAGAAGTACTCAGATCTTGTACTTGAGTAAAAGTAGAAGTACTCAGATCTTGTACTTGAGTAAAAGTAGAAGTACTCAGATCTTGTACTTGAGTAAAAGTAGAAGTACTCAGATCGTGTACTTGAGTAAAAGTAGAAGTACTCAGATCTTGTACTTGAGTAAATGTAGAAGTACTCAGATCTTGTAGTAAAAGTAGAAGTACTCAGATCTTGTACTTGAGTAAAAGTAGAAGTACTCAGATCTTGTACTTGAGTAAAAGTAGAAGTACCAGAGTGTAGGAATACTCTGTTACAGTAAAAGTCCTGCATTCAAAATGTTCCTCAAGTAAAAGTAGAAAAGTATTATCATCAAAATATAGTGAAAGTAGCGACAGTAAAAGTAGTCATTGTGCAGATTGGTCCATTTCAGAATAATATATATGATATGTTTTATAATGATTGATCATGAAAGTGTTCATCACTTTCAATGTTGTACTTGGTGAAGGTGGGTTTAATTTGAATTACTTTACACTCTACTGGTTAGCCTATCATAATGCATTATAATGTAGATTTATATTTTGTATCAAACCCTAAATCTGCAAAGTAACTAGTAAATAAATATGTAAAATAAATGTAATGGAGTACAAAGTAGTATAATGTGAAAATACTCAAGTATAGTTCAAGTATCTACGTTTCTTTTACTCAAGTGGAATACTTGAGTAAATGTACTCGGTATGCTTCTCAGGCCCTGCGTCCCCAAACCCAGGCCAGATATTTTTATGAGATGTTAAGAGGAAACGGCTTTCTGGTTTACGGGGAGGCAATAAAATGTCAACTCTTTGACTGGTCAAAGCAGCAGCTTGTTAAAAAAAAAAAGAGAAAAGACTTTTGTTCGGTGAGGAACGACAAAGGCAGATGGACAGAGACGTGATCTCAGGACATTTGTGCAAGAGGACGAGAAAGAGGTTTCCAATAGGACAAATAAAGAATGATTTTCAGGCATTTTCCTGAAGAGGGGACTACATTTAAACAGATGTGTGTTTTTTGTCAAAGTGTTCCCTTTTAGTTTCCTTCAACTTTTACACATATAGTTTAAATTAAAGAGTCCTCTCCTGCTGATGTTCAGGTGTATATCCGTATGTAGTGTCTCTACTTTAAAGAGTCCTCTCCTGCTGATGTTCAGGTGTATATCAGTATGTAGTGTCTCTACTTTAAAGAGTCCTCTCCTGCTGATGTTCAGGTGTATATCAGTATGTAGTGTCTCTACTTTAAAGAGTCCTCTCCTGCTGATGTTCAGGTGTATATCAGTATGCAGTGTCTCTACTTTAAAGAGTCCTCTCCTGCTGATGTTCAGGTGTATATCAGTATGTAGTGTCTCTACTTTAAAGAGTCCTCTCCTGCTGATATTCAGGTGTATATCAGTATGTAGTGTCTCTACTTTAAAGAGTCCTCTCCTGCTGATGTTCAGGTGTATATCAGTATGTAGTGTCTCTACTTTAAAGAGTCCTCTCCTGCTGATGTTCAGGTGTATATCAGTATGCAGTGTCTCTACTTTAAAGAGTCCTCTCCTGCTGATGTTCAGGTGTATATCAGTATGTAGTGCCTCTACTTTAAAGAGTCCTCTCCTGCTGATGTTCAGGTGTATGTAGTGCCTCTACTTTAAAGAGTCCTCTCCTGCTGATGTTCAGGTGTATATCAGTATGTAGTGCCTCTACTTTAAAGAGTCCTCTCCTGCTGATGTTCAGGTGTATATCAGTATGTAGTGTCTCTACTTTAAAGAGTCCTCTCCTGCTGATGTTCAGGTGTATATCAGTATGTAGTGTCTCTACTTTAAAGAGTCCTCTCCTGCTGATGTTCAGGTGTATATCAGTATGTAGTGTCTCCATGCTTTAATGTTCAAAAAGCTCTCAGGAGTGCGAGTGATGTCACTGTGTTCCTGAACTTTGGGATTTTACCCTTTGCAGACCATTTACATGCACACAAACCCGTATAACACTACAGGAAAGGGAACACCCCCCAAAAGCATAATTGGGCCTCTTTAATAACCCCAGCTTTGTTCAGGAAATCTTTGTTCCCTGCATTTATCCTCGTCAAACACTGCAGGTTGAGACGAGAAGGGAAGAATAAAAGGCTCAGAAGTCACATTAAAGGTTTTGAGGAGTGAACTTTAATGGGGTTTGGATTGTCTTTGTTGGAGGTCGAACATTTAATTACTTTACGAGACAAAAAGCACAACTAGAGCCGATCCTACATTCACTCAGCCAACTAAAAAGCCCCTCCAGCAGCTCAGTGTTACAGAGGGTCATTACTTTTGACAAATGACACACATTCAGCTTTGTCAAAGGTTGGGGCGGTAAAGCTACCACATATTATATTTCTCATCTCAGTCGAGAAGCCGTTTTCATCTCCTCCTATCAAAGGGTTGTATTGTTCTAACTCTCTGATGAATGTTTCCCGGCTCAGATCAGAGTTGCTCGCCAACAGATGGACGGAGAGACGGAGGTTCAGAGGTCCTAAAGGTTTCCCCGTGACGAAGAAGAAGGAGGAAGGAGGAAGGAGACAAAGTAGTGTGCTAACAGTCTGACCTCATGGCCACAAAGAGGGGGATTCGGGGGGATTTGGGGTTACAGCCAACGTCACAGCGTGCTGGTTGTGGATGCAGCCAATCTCTTTCCTATGTAGATCCTAAAAAAAGAGAGCAATAAATCATAATTTATTCCTCCAAACAGCAATAGTAGTTAGCATCTATAGCTTTAGCAGGCAAATGGTAAATGGACTGTACTTATATAGCGCTTTATCCAGTCTTTAAGACCCCTCAAAGCGCTTTACATACTACATGTCATTCACCCATTCACACCCATTCATACAGAGCAGTGTACCTTACTCTAGGACCTAACATTCACACAGAGCAGTGTACCTTACTCTAGGACCTAACATTCACACAGAGCAGTGTACCTTACTCTAGGACCTAACATTCACACAGAGTAGTGTACCTTACTCTAGGACCTAACATTCACACAGAGCAGTGTACCTTACTCTAGGAACTAACATTCATACAGAGCAGTGTACCTTACTCTAGGACCTAACATTCACACAGAGCAGTGTACCTTACTCTAGGAACTAACATTCATACAGAGCAGTGTACCTTACTCTAGGAACTAACATTCACACAGAGCAGTGTACCTTACTCTAGGAACTAACATTCACACAGAGCAGTGTACCTTACTCTAGAACCTAACATTCATACAGAGCAGTGTACCTTACTCTAGAACCTAACATTCATACAGAGCAGTGTACCTTACTCTAGAACCTAACATTCATACAGAGCAGTGTACCTTACTCTAGGAACTAACATTCACACAGAGCAGTGTACCTTACTCTAGGACCTAACATTCACACAGAGCAGTGTACCTTACTCTAGGACCTAACATTCACACAGAGCAGTGTACCTTACTCTAGAACCTAACATTCACACAGAGCAGTGTACCTTACTCTAGAACCTAACATTCACACAGAGCAGTGTACCTTACTCTAGGACCTAACATTCACACAGAGCAGTGTACCTTACTCTAGAACCTAACATTCACACAGAGCAGTGTACCTTACTCTAGGAACTAACATTCACACAGAGCAGTGTACCTTACTCTAGGAACTAACATTCACACAGAGCAGTGTACCTTACTCTAGGAACTAACATTCACACAGAGCAGTGTACCTTACTCTAGGAACTAACATTCACACAGAGCAGTGTACCTTACTCTAGGAACTAACATTCATACAGAGCAGTGTACCTTACTCTAGGACCTAACATTCACACAGAGCAGTGTACCTTACTCTAGGAACTAACATTCACACAGAGCAGTGTACCTTACTCTAGGACCTAACATTCACACAGAGCAGTGTACCTTACTCTAGGAACTAACATTCACACAGAGCAGTGTACCTTACTCTAGGAACTAACATTCATACAGAACAGTGTACCTTACTCTAGGACCGAACATTCATACAGAGCAGTGTACCTTACTCTAGGAACTAACATTCACACAGAGCAGTGTACCTTACTCTAGGACCTAACATTCACACAGAGCAGTGTACCTTACTCTAGGACCTAACATTCACACAGAGCAGTGTACCTTACTCTAGGACCTTAGCAGTGTACCTTACTCTAGGACCTAACATTCATACAGAGCAGTGTACCTTACTCTAGGAACTAACATTCACACAGAGCAGTGTACCTTACTCTAGGACCTAACATTCACACAGAGCAGTGTACCTTACTCTAGGACCTTAGCAGTGTACCTTACTCTAGGACCTAACATTCATACAGAGCAGTGTACCTTACTCTAGGACCTAACATTCACACAGAGCAGTGTACCTTACTCTAGGAACTAACATTCACACAGAGCAGTGTACCTTACTCTAGGACCTAACATTCACACAGAGCAGTGTACCTTACTCTAGGACCTAACATTCACACAGAGCAGTGTACCTTACTCTAGGACCTAACATTCACACAGAGTAGTGTACCTTACTCTAGGACCTAACATTCACACACGCCATCAAGAGCAACTCAGGGTTAAGTATCTTGTCCCAAGGTCACATCGACATGTTGACTGCATGGGCTGGGATCGAACCCACGACCTTCTGGTTGAAAGACGACCACACTCCCTCGCAGCCACAGTCGCCCTATAGGCCTGTGAAGCTGAGGATTTCCACATGTTTGCAGGTAAGCTAATTCCACCTTTTCATCGGGATGTTCAATCAGTGCTGATGGTAAATGTATTACATTACATTACTGATGCTTCTTTCCAAAGTGACGCATAATGAAAGCAGAAAATCAACAAACCTGTATTCGCTTCAAATGAGCCAAAAGCTTCTGTACGTGCTGTTGCATCAAATGAGCGAAACTCTTGTCCATTTTTACAATTTGTGTGTGTTTGAAATTGAGGTTTAATTTGTGGGAACATGCATGTTATGTTGTTGAGTGGCGTCTTTATAGCTTGTGCCTCATACCAGAGAAATCTAAGCTGAAAGAGTTTGTAGATCTTCTTGCATCCAACTACATTTCTTTCAGGTAAAATGACTGGGATGGATGCAGGGAGAACAGAATCTGCAAACTGTATCGGACAATATAACAGATTTAGGAATGTATTATTATTCATTTGACTTTATTTACCATCAACACTGATAGGACTTGTGGCTAAATATTTCTTAAAGGTCACTTATTGTGCAAAATCCACTTCTTCATGTCTCTTCTACATCAACATGTGTCCCCTCTTCTTCATGTCTCTTCTACATCAACATGTGTCCCCTCTTCTTCATGTCTCTTCTTCATCAACATGTGTCCCCTCTTCTTCATGTCTCTTCTACATCAACGTGTGTCCCCTCTTCTTCATGTCTCTTCTACATCAACATGTGTCCCCTCTTCTTCATGTCTCTTCTACATCAACATGTGTCCCCTCTTCTTCATGTCTCTTCTACATCAACATGTGTCCCCTCTTCTTCATGTCTCTTCTTCATCAACATGTGTCCCCTCTTCTTCATGTCTCTTCTACATCAACATGTGTCCCCTCTTCTTCATGTCTCTTCTTCATCAACATGTGTCCCCTCTTCTTCATGTCTCTTCTACATCAACATGTGTCCCCTCTTCTTCATGTCTCTTCTACATCAACATGTGTCCCCTCTTCTTCATGTCTCTTCTTCATCAACATGTGTCCCCTCTTCTTCATGTCTCTTCTACATCAACATGTGTCCCCTCTTCTTCATGTCTCTTCTTCATCAACATGTGTCCCCTCTGTGTAAAGAGACTCTGAAAGTTTCAGGAACAAAGATTCTCTCTCTTTTTGTCCTGATCCATTTCTATAAAAACCTGTCTGAAAATGAGCTGATCAGATCTTTATGATGTCATAACGATGTTTTTAGCTTGTGTAATCATTAGCCAATCAGCAACCAAGGTAACCCCCCCCCCCACCTTATCACCTGAATCTCCTCCTAGAGCACCATTGAGTTCTTTTTAACCAAATATCTCTCAGAGGGGCGTGGGGAGGGGCTCCTTATTTTCATCTAAAGTAACAGACAGAGAATCAGCACTTTGGAAACAGAGGGGATTATGGGTAATGCTGCAATGATCTGTTTGGTATTTCAGCCAATCAGAGACAGGTTCTGTATATATCTGAGACCTGTGATATATTGATGAAAAACAGTATGATAGGGGACCTTTAATGTCAGTGAGTGCATGTCTCACCCGACTCCCAGTGTGAGCAGGTGTGAAGCCAGCAGGGAGGGAATGAGGATGAGGAGGACGTCGTAGGAGAAGATTCCTCTCTTCATCACCTCCGTCTTCCTCACGCTGAAGGAGCCCTGCTGCTTCGGGTGCTGAAACACAAACTCTCTGCAGAAACAACGAGGATAGAAAAGAAACGATAAACAGTTAATGAGAACACAGGGGACAGGACTGAGCACTGAGAGACCCAAGATTAGAGGAACTACCTGTTCAATATTTTACTGCAGAAGATCAAGTGTGGCAGCTTGAGGAGATGTATCTCAACACTTACAAAGAATCCGTACACAGCTTGGAACATGCCGTCAAAACATGCATAAATAAATAAAATGTTCTTACTGAAAGTCAAATGTTGTGACTTTAACACAGCTGCTCTTACTTTGGTGCCATATTTTCAGGTCTACTGGACCAGTCCCACACCCAGTCAGTGTCTCCTCTCCGGTCAGCTTCCTCCTGCAGAATAAACACAGATGATGAAGAGAAACAGTGTGTTGGGAAAATACTGAATGTCCTCTTCCAATATGAGAGTAACATGATAACAAAGGTATCCCAACTGTAGCTGTGAACATGACAGGATGTATGATTACCTAGAAGAGCATCAGGACTGTTTGAGGCATATGATAGCTATGTGATTAACATGATGATTCAGCCTCTATGGAGATAGACATATGACAAGCATGCTCATTTCTGACGTGGAGCTAATCTGAAGTAAACATTGAATACTGCTTTCTATTCCTCCATCTTGTGACTGTGTAACTCCCTCTCTTGGATATCAGCATGTGAAGGACACTGTTCAGGAACTAGTTGATGCTCTGGATGTGATGACTACTTCCATTCTGGAGAGTCAGGATTTTGAGATTTTGAGTAAAAAGTCCGGATTTTGAGAGAAAGTCCGAATTTTGAGAGAAAGTCAGAATTTTGAGATTTTTTAGAAAACGTCAGAATTTTTAGAAAACGTCAGAATTTTTATAAAAGGTCAGATTTTGAGATTCAAATTCAGACTTTTTCTAAAAATCTCAAAATTCGGACTTTTTCTTAAAAAGTCCGAATTTTGAGATTTTTAGAAAAAGTCTGAATTTTGAGATTTTGAGAAAAAATACATAATTTTGAGAGAAAGTAATAAAAAAAAATGATTTTGAGAAAAAAGTCTGAATTTTGAGAGAAAGTCCGAATTTTGAGAAAAAGTAAAAAAAATAATGATTTTAAGAAAAAGATCTGAATTTTGAGATTTTGAGAAAAAATACATAATTTTGAGAGAAAGTCCGAATTTTGAGAGAAAGTCCGAATTTTGAGATTTTGAGAAAATGTCTGAATTTTGAGAGAAAATCTGAATTTTGATTGAAAACTCAGTGTTTTGTACATGAAAGGATGTTTGATTCCTCCATCTTGTGACTGTGTAACTCCCTCTCTTGGATATCAGCATGTGAAGGACACTGTTCAGGAACTAGTTGATGCTCTGTATGTGATGACTACTTCCATTCTGGAGAGGATCACAGATACATGGATCCTGAGATTGAAGCTCAAGCCAGTGAGATTGTTCTAACAGTGATTAAGAGTTATTCTTGT